AACAATTGTTAAAGGAGTAGATAACATGACCTATGAAAGAAAGCTGATAGAACTGGGTTTGTTTAGTTTGGAGAAGAGAAGACTGAGAGGGGACATGATAGCAGTTTACAGGTATCTAAAAGGGTGTCATAAGGAGGAGGGAGAGAACTTGTTCACCTTAGCCTCTAAGGATAGAACCAGAAGCAATGGGCTTAAACTGCAGCAAGGGAGGTCTAGGTTGGACATTAGGAAAAAGTTCCTAACTGTCAGGGTGGTTAAACACTGGAATAAATTGCCGAGGGAGGTTGTGGAATATCCATCTCTGGATAGTTGTGAGGAAATGGTGAGAGGAGATTGCCTGCCCTGGTAGCCCATCTCACCATGCTGCACGGGGTGTGAAATACCGAGGAGTTTGCCACCTCGGCACAATGGGATGAGCTAAGGATGAGTGCAGCTCTGCCCTCCCCTTCCTTCCCTTCGTTCTGAACGTTGCCAAAGATTTCCTGTAATGTCTGGAGAGATGCAGGCTGCACGGAAACTTGCCTCCAAGCAGCTCTGTGTGAAAGTGAATTTTAACATGTTGTTACAAGCAGCCTTTCTCTGCGTTTCCTCCCCAGTCTCAGCTGCCGGCGATGTATCATTGTGGGAAATGGAGGAGTGCTTGCAAATAAGTCATTGGGGCTGAAAATTGATGACTACGATGTTGTGGTCAGGTGAGTCCTTGGTATCCCATTTTGGATATTTTTTATTCGTTTTCAGTATAGCACGAATACACCGTAGAGAGGTTCGGCCTCCATTGTTCACACATGGACCAGGAACAATCGCCATTGGTAGGGACGCTTACAATGAAGTGTAAAATAAACCAAGAATGTACAGATTGTCTGAATTCTAAATGTTCGTGGCCCTCCTGATGGGGAAGGTCGTTTGTCTCACTTATCCCACAAGTGGGATAAATCTTTTCCACCTCACACCCCCTGGCAGAACGTGCTTAATTCTTTGTGATGGCCTTTGGGCTGCACCAATCTCTGTTCTCATGGGGCCCCTCCTGGGACTCCGACTCTGCTCAGAAAGCAGGAGGAGGAAAGGCTTCAATTCTTTGCACTAAGCCACCCACTTAGATTTAAATCCAAAATCCCTCAAAAAATGAGAAACTCCATGAGGAGTTCAGTGGTCTGGCAAAAATAACCCATTCCTATAGCTAATAACTGGATAGGTTGCCTGTAGTGTGTCATTTCCACACCCAACGTGACCTTTCTCCTCACATCAATAAATCTGGTGCTAGTCTGTGGCCTGGGATGATGAGGGTGGTATCTGAGCATCTGTGCTGGCAGGGGGCTGTGAGAGGAAGTGAAAAGGCAACCTTAAAGGTTAAGTGAAGCCAGGTGCTCAGCTGTGTGAGTGAGCGGGTGAGAGCAGACATCTTCTTAAATGTCTCCACCTGCTAGCTTGGGTCCCATGTAAGTCTGGGGAAGGAGAGGTGCCTTTCTCTTGTACATTGAGCTCCTTTTATGCTGGGCTGCTTGGCTTCATTAGCAGGATTTGCAGGAACTAGACCTGGGAGCTAGGGGGTGGATCTCTGCGGCAGAGAAATATGGAGAATCCATTGGTGCAACTAGCAGATAATGCAGGGGCCCAGTCACATAGTGGGGTCCTGATTGACTCCTAGCAGGGCGTGGACCAGTTTTCCTGAGGTAAAAACAAAGGCAGACTTGCCCTAGCGATCCCAGGCTAGCGCCACTTGGTGCTCCATGAAAAGAAGAGTTGAGCTGGTCTGAACTATGACACTCAGCTGACGGGGCAATCCCCACATGCTGTTAAGTGCAGGCTTTAAAGCCTGGGCACCTCCGGGGGCTCCTCCATGGGATAATATTGGCAGTTTGGTTTCTGGTAGCATTTGGAGCCCCATCATCTAGCGGGTGAGTATCCATGAAATAAAGTCAGTCCCTGTGTGAGCTGGCTGGAATTTGAAGCTAGACAAATTCAGACTGGAAATAAGACTTAGGTTTTAAACAGCAAGGGTCAGGTGAGGCAGACGCTCTCTGTGAATGAGAGGGCAGAAGCTTAGGGGGAGAGAAAGTGAGGGGAGGTACTTAGTGGTAGGTGGGGCAGCCTGGAAGGAGGATCCAAGTCAATAATGTAACCAGACTCTGCTCCTCCACCGGGAACGCAGCCTGAAGTCACTGGGACTGTGCACCGAAGTCAGACGGAGCTTTTGAAAATCCCACTCTCACGCGCCAAAGTATGGGCTTGAGTTCTTAAATCAAGTGATTTCGTTTTGAAATTTTTGGCCTATGTATAAGAAGTTCCCAATAACTTTAATTTCTTGAAAGTCTTAATAACTTTGTACTGTTAATACTGTAGGAATTTTGTTTTAAAGTGACAAAGATTTTGTGTCACTGAGAAAAGTTTTAATAGTACAGACTAAGCCCCATATGCTGTAACACTTTAAGCACATGAATAGTCCCACTGACTTGACTCTTCATGCGAGTAAAGTTATGCACCTGCTTAAGTGTTTGCAGGGCCTTAATTTTCAGTATTTTGTTTGTTGTCTATAGCAGTGTTGTGAAATTCAGATAAGTCACTTTAGCAGTAGTTGTTCTTAAAACAACACTATTTATAATTTACTCCATAATGATCTTTTGTCTAAAATTTCAAAAGCACAAATTTTCAAATTAGTTTTCCAGAGCCCTAGCCTGATTTAAATCATTGGAGCTGTTTTTTGGTTTCTTAAATCCGGTGTTTTACATTGCCTTGACTGGAATTGCTTCCTAACGAACCTGACTGATAACAATAAGCTATGGCTGTGGTTAGGCATAGTGCTGGGTTTCGTGGTCAAGGAAATCACTGCCCAATGGCTACTACCTCGCCAGCCGTAATTGAATGTAGATGAGAGTCTCTGGTAGTTTATTCTCTTGTCACCTGGCAGGCTGAACTCTGCTCCAGTGAAGGGCTTTGAGAAGGATGTGGGAGGCAAGACAACGCTGCGGATCACGTACCCTGAAGGGGCCATCCAGAAACTGGAGCAGTATGAGAAGGACTCCTTCTTTGTTCTGGCCGGATTCAAGTGGCAGGATTTCAAGTGGCTCAAATACATTGTTTACAAGGAGAAAGTGGTAAGACTTGGTGTGCGTCGCTTAGGTGGATGGGATGGGGCACTATTAGTATGTCATGATTTTACCTACAGCGTTTGGGTCTGGGCCCGGTTTCTGTCTGCCCCTGCCCAGGTGTCTGCATTTCACTGAGTGGTTTGTCACTTCCAGGGACCCCGTTTTTAATGAAATAGGCTTTGTAATGCCAGCTCAATGGATCAGGCTACCCCTGTATAATCTGGGCTCACACCATAAGAATGTAAGAACAGCCAGACTGGGTCAGAGCAAAAGTCCATCTAGCCTAGAATCCTGTCTCTGACGGTGGCCAATGCCAGGTGCTTTCGGCAGCTGGAGGTTTAGGGAAACCTGGAGCGTGGGGTTGCGTTCCTGTCCATCTTAACTAATAGCCTTTGATGGACCTGTCCTCCGTGAACTTATCTAATCCTTTTCTGAACCCAGTTATACTTTTGGCCTCCACAACAGCCCATGGCAACGAGTTCCACAGGTTGACTGGGCATTGTGTGAAGAAATACTTCCTTTTGTTTGTTTTAAACCTTCTACTTATTAATTTCATTGGGTGACGCCTAGTCCTTGTGTTATGTGAAGGGGTAAATAACACTTTCCTATTCCCTTTCTCCACACCAGTCATGATTTTACAGATATCTATTGTATCACCCTTAGTTGAACAGCGCCAGTCTTTTTAATCTCTCCTCATAATTCCATACCCCTAATAATTTTTGTTGCTCTTCTCTGCACCTTCTCCAATTCTAATGTATATTTTTTTAGATGGGGCAATCAGAACTGCATGCAGTATTCAAGGAATAGGCGTACCATGGATTTATACAGTGGCACTGTGATATTTTCTGTTGTATTATCTATCCCTTTCCTAATGGTTCCTAACATCATTAGCTTTTTTTGACTGCCATTGCACATTGAGCAGATGTTTTCAGAGAACTGTCCATGATGACTCCAAGATCTCTTTCATGAGTGGGTAAGAGCTAATTTATACCCTGTCACTTTGTATGTATATTTGGGATTATTTTTCCATACAAAATAATGGGATCTAAATTTACTCTTACCACTCATCAATGCTTGACTTGCCAGAGTGTATGCTCCTTGAATGAGTCTCACTATTAATCTTATGAATCTTGTTATAAACAGTGAATTTAATTCTATACTGATCCCAAATTATGTGAAAAGGCGAGTGTTGATTTTAATCTATTTCATAGATTCATAGAGTTTAAGGCCAAATGGGACCGTTACAGCGTCTAACCTGACCTCCTATATATCACAGGCAAGTAACAAGAACCAATGGCTGGAAGTGAAGCCACAAAAATTCAAATTAGAAACAAAGCACAGATTTTTAACAGTTTGGGTGATTAACCACTAGAGCAAGCTACCACGGGAAGTGGTGGATTCTCCATCTCTTGATGTCTTCAAATCCAGACTGATGCTTTTCTGGAAAGTATGCTGTAGCCAAACACAAGTTATTGGGCCAATACAGGGGTAACTGCATGGAAATGTAATGGCCCGTGATATACAGGAGGTCAGACCAGATGATCTAATGGTCCCTTCTGGCCTTAAACTCTATGAAATCTATGAAACCACACACAGAAGTTTGAGAAGAGAGGTGGGGGATCTGTGTGGGAACAACCTTCCACAGAGGGATTTAGCTATTTTGTCTGATGTGCTGCCTTCGCAGGCTGCTCTGTATCACATTTCATGATGTTCTGATGTTTTCTTTAGCTGCTTGAGAATAGAGACGCCAGCACGTTGTGTGGAGCTTTAGATCAGAATCTTAAGAAATGTGGAGGGGAGGCCAGAGAAACAATATTCTCTTCTTCAAGTGGTTGACCACATGGATTCCACTTATGGTGTCAGGCACCTGAAATCAGATGCTGTTGACTATCAGTGTCTGGGGCCACCCCTGTGTCCTGGATGCTGTCGTGCCCTTCCCACCCCAGGCCATAAAGGGAAGACCCGGCCCAGCCATCATATCAGATCCTTGTTACCACCCATGGCTGCCTCTTACTGTTATAGCCAACAGAGGTCATCAGCATCTCCAAGGCAAAGACAGCACCTGGGAAGAAGACCCTCTCCCTGCTCCTCTGCTGCCACATACTTCTATGTTGACCTCTTATCAGCAGATTTAACGCTATGGTCAAGAGCCATATAGAACCATTGGCTCCATCCTATCCCCTTGCGCCTCTTTGGCAACTCTCTCTTTGGTTTTGGGACACCTGGAACCGAAAACACCGGACCAGTCGGTCCTGGAGGTGATAGACTAGGAGTATTCTGTCCAGTTCCTCCCTACCCCCTTCCCTGTCCCTCCTCAGGGACCAATCTCACAGGATATGGCTAAGGAAGAAAGTAAACTCCAGCCTGCAATTCGGAGTGCCCTGGGAGTTCCAGGGCCAGGGAGGCTTAATCACGTTATTTCCTGATCCCAGAGAAGAAAGCGGGGGCACCCCATTCTGGACCTTTAATGTCTCAACAAAGCCCCTTTGTTTCCAGTTCAGGATGGTAACTCTAGTGTTCATAATCGCCACTGTCGATCCTCAGGACAGTTCATGCCTCTCGACTTGCAAGATGCCAGTTTCCATACAGCTAGTCACCCAGTCCACAGGAAATATCTCAGGTTCCTCGTGGGGAAGTCCCACTATCAGTCCAGAGTGCTTCCCTCCATGGCTCCCAGAGTACTTACCAAGTACCTGCTGGGCCATGGCAGCAGAAACAAAGGATACACTATACCCAGACCTCGCCGGCTGGTGTGTTCAGGGGCAGTCACCTGAACAAATGAACAGCTCCAGCCAAGTAACTCTAGTGCTCTTCGCTGCTCTGGGTCTCAGTGAGCAGAGGTGCCTGTTCTCGCTCCTACTCAGAGCAGAGCGTTCATAGGAGCAGTATTAGGTTCCAAAGCAGCAAAAGCTTACCTACTGCAGGAAAAGGTCCACCCTCTACTGAACCCTCTCAGTCAACCCCAGATACACCTGAAGACATCACTTAGAGCCTGCCTCAGGCTCCTGGAACAAAAAATGTTTGGTGAGATCTTAGAGTTGTTTCTAATTTTCACTTGAACCAAGTAAATCCATCTGCCAGTTTTCTTTCCTAAGCCTCACATTAGCCAAGGGGAAGCTAAACGTCACACCCTCGATGTTGTGTGATCCTTCTCCTACTACCTGGCTAGGTCAAGACCCTTCAGAAACTCTCCCAGGCTGTTACTGGCCTTTGTTGACAGGATGAAGGGTCAACCTGTGCTTACCCAAATGGGTGTCAGACTGTATGTATTCCATGACCCGCCCTTCCCTGCTATTACAGTGGCCTGTATCATCCGGATTCTGTTTCAGTGAAGGGACTGAGGGGTAGTTGAGCTCACTCCACTTTTTATACCCTTAAGTGAGAGGGGATGAGGGCATCCAGGGCACAGGCGTGGTTCCAACAGACAGTGCTCGTCAAAAGTTGCTGATCTCACACCAGAATCTCATTCCATCAGAATCCATATGGACCACACATCTCCAGGAACCAGTTACTGAAAAGTAACTGTTGGTTGGATAGTTGTTCTGGCCAGGAGGTGGCCAAGTGGCATGCCTGCTCTAGTCAGCCAAAAAAAACCAAACCAAACAGAATAACAAATCAGAGAATGAAAGATTGTCTACTATGTTAAGAGCAGACAGTTCCTGAAACCACCAGACCAGCATATGCGCACCCTTATGCAAACTAGGTATATAAGGAAATGGAGTTGGGGCCGAATCAAAGATAGTTCTTTGTGCATCATTTCGTCAGAACAAGTTACTGCATTTTATACATTCATAGATCCCAAGGCCGGAAGGGACCACCTTGATCACCTAGTCTGACCTCCTGTATAGCACAGGCCAGCGAACTTCCCCAAAATAATTCCTAGAGCAGATCTTTCAGAAAAACATCCAGTCTTGATTTAAAAATGCTAGTGATGGAGAATCCATCATGACCCTTGATACATTGTTCCAATGGCTAATTACCCTCACTGTTAAAAATGTATACCTTATTTCCAGTCTGAATGTGTCTAGCTTCAACTTCCAGCCATTGGATGGTGTTAGACCTTCCTATGCTAGCCTGGGGAGCCCATTATCAAATATTTGTTCCCTGTGTAACTATTTATGGACTGGTTTCAGAGTAGCAGCCGTGTTAGTCTGTATCCGCAAAAAGAACAGGAGTACTTGTGGCACCTTAGAGACTAACAAATTTATTAGAGCATAAGCTTTCGTGGGCTACAGCCCACTTCTTCGGATGCATATAGAATGGAACATACATTGAGGAGATATATATACACGCATACAGAGAGCATGAACAGGTGGGAGTTGTCTTACCAACTCTGAGAGGCCAATTAAGTAAGAGAAAAAAAACTTTTGAAGTGATAATCAAGATAGCCCAGTACAGTCAGTTTTATAAGAAGTGTGAGAATACTTACAAGAGGAGATATATTCAATGTTTGTAGTGGCTCAGCCATTGCCAGTCCTTATTCAATCCTAAGTTGATTGTATCTAGTTTGCATATCAATTCCAGCTCAGCAGTCTCTCGTTGGAGTCTGTTTTTGAAGTTTTTCTGTTGTAAGATAGCCACCCGCAGGTCGGTCATTGAATGACCAGACAGGTTAAAGTGTTCTCCCACTGTTTTTTGAGTATTATGATTCCTGATGTCAGATTTGTGTCCATTAATTCTTTTGCGTAGAGACTGTCCGGTTTGGCCAATGTACTTGGCAGAGGGGCATTGCTGGCACATGATGGCATATATCACATTGGTAGATGTGGAGGAGGCAGAGCCTGTGATGGCATGTCTGATGTGATTAGGCCCTATGATTATGTCCCTAGAAAAA